GGAAGAAGAAGATGATCATGGAAAAAGAAGATCATGGAAAAGAATCATGGAAAAGAAGATCATGGAGAGAATCATGGAGAAGAATAAGATCATGAGAAGAAGAAGATGATCATGGAGAAAGAAGATCATGGAAGATCATGGAGAAGAAAGAAGATCGTGAAGATCATGAAGAAGATCATGGAGAAGAAGATGATAATGGAGAAGAAGAAGATGATAATGGAGAGAAGAAGATGATAATGGAGAAGAAGAAGATGATCGGAGAAGATGATGATCATGGAAGAAGAAGATGATCATGGAAGAAGAAGATGATCATGGAAGAAGAAGATGATCATGGAGAAGAAGAAGATCATGGAGAAGAAGATGATCATGGAGAAGAAGAAGATGATCATGGAAAGAAAGAAGATCATGGAGAAGAAGATAGGAAGAAGAAGATCATGAAGAAGAAGACGTAAAGTCGTAAACGAAGACGTAAATTCCATGCTAAACACAAGACTGTGTCGACCAGTAAGAGGGAGGGAGTTGTGTGGTGGTGACAGATCCAGGGTTAAGGCACTCCATCCTCCTCACATCTCCCCCTCTCTTCCTCTCATCTCCTTCTCCCTCCTCCCTTTCCCTTTCCTTCCCCTCCCTTCTCCCTTTCCCTTCCCTCTACCTCCTCTCACCTGACTGACTCTTTATTTCTTTCTTGGTGGTATTGGGTATAAAGATTCAGTGCTTGAGGTGTGTGTGTGTGTGTGTGTGTGTGTGTGTGTGTGTGTGTGTGTGTGTGTGTGTGTGTGTGTGTGTGAATGGTGTTGGCAGCCCGTGTGAGTGAATAAGTGAATGACTGGTGAGCGAGTGAATGACTGATGTTGGTAGCACGTGTGAGTGAGTGTGGTAAGTGCGTGACTGAGTGAGTGAGTGGTGTTGACAGAAAGAATGATTCACACAGGAAGCATCAGAGTGTGGAGAGAGAGAGTCTTACATTACCTGTGAGTGAAAGACTGATTGGCATTCTTGTACCTTTGGGCGTGTATCGCGTGGTGGAAATATTTGGTGGAGTTGCACACACACACACACACACACACACACACACACACACACACACATCAGGGAGAACAATTCACATCTTGCATACCCGTGACGTCTGTTTTTGCATGATGCGGAGTGCTTGAAGTGCTGTTGCAAGCGTTAGTGCATGTCGTTTATATACTGTTTTTGTGCTTGGGAAAGACTTTTATGTTTGTGTTGATTTTAGGCTACGTCCTTATGGTATTCTAACCTAACCTAACTTAACCTAACTTGTCATTATGCAGTTTACGATTAACCCCCTGAGTACGATGGTGTAATCGCTTGAGTACGATGGTGTAATCACTTGAGTACGATCACTTAACCTTGAGTACGATTTTTGAACTTTGTACATACAATTTCCTGTACCCTCTAGTCAAATGACATTATACTGAGGGGGTTAAATCATTGTACTGAGGGGGTTAAATCATTATACTGAGGGGGTTAAATCATTGTACTGAGGGGGTTAAATCATTGTACTGAGGGGGTTAAATCATTGTACTGAGGGGGTTAAATCATTGTACTGAGAGGTTAATCATTGTTGTAACCTTTCGAGAATTCATCGACATTGTACTGAGGGGTTAAATCATTGTAGCCTGAGGTTAAATCATTGTATAGAGGTTAAATCATTGTACTGGGGAGTTAAATCATTGTACAGGGTTAAATCATTGTACTGAGGTTAAATCATTGCTGGGGTTAAATCGTGCATTTTTACTGAGGGTTAAATCGTATAGAGAGTCAAATCCGACAGACTGAGATTCGTCGATGGACTGAGGAGTTAATCATTGTACTGAGGTTAAATCATTGTACTTTGAGGATTAAATCATTTGTTGTTATTACTGAGAGTTAAATCATTGTACTAGAGGTTAAATCATTGTACTAAGGGTTTAAATCATTTAACTGAGGAGTTAAATCATTTGTACTAGAGGGAGTTAAATCATTGTACTGGGGTTAAATCATTGTACTGAGAGTTCGTCATTGTACTGAGGTTAAATCTGTTGTACTGGGGGTTAAATCATTGTACTGGGGTTAATCATTGGCCTAGAGGTTAAATCATTGTACTGAGGGTTAAATCATTGTACTGAGGGGGTTAAATCATTGTACTGGGGGGGTTAAATCATTGTACTGAGGGGGTTAAATCATTGTACTGAGGGGGTTAAATCGTTGTACTAAAGGGGTTAAATCATTGTACTGAGGGGGTTAAATCATTGTACTGAGGGGGTTAAATCATTGTACTGAGGGGGTTAAATCATTGTACTAAAGGGGTTTAAGGTTCCAGGCTTCTCACATTACCTGGGTGAGAGTGTCGTGTGTATGAGAGTTGGTGATGATGGATGATGCTGCTGCAGTGTTTTATAGGTCAGCTGTGAGAAATATCTGGTTCTATTGGTGCAGTGTCTGGTGTTGAGTGTTGATGTAGTATTAGCGGTCGGTGGTGCGTGCTTAAGGAGCGGTGTGTGAGACAGAGAGGCCATCAGTTTTTGCTGCTGCTAACGAGGTTTTAAATTTAGAGTGATTAACTTTTGGCTTCCAGGTCTAATATCACTTTACCTAACCTAACCTCTGTAACCATTAAACCTTCTCATAACAGAAAAGTTCCTGTTTTCTTCGTAATAAGAAGTTTTAGTTCGTTGTATCCACACTATACTGTCGTGTCTAGGCTGAATCACCGCTGTTGGACATTCACCAGGTGGAAATTACGGTACTTGTGCTATATTCCTTCTTGTTTACCTGCTCTGGTATGTCTGGATGATGTGTGTGTGTGTGTGTGTGTGTGTGTGTGTGTGTGTGTGTGTGTGTGTGTGTTCTGTTATATGAAGATTCACCCCCCCCCTTCCCTAGCTTATTTCACCTGATAATTAAACACCATAACACTACCTCTACCTGGGTATTGGATTAATTTAGGTTAGGTTTTGTTTGGCTAGCATATGTTTGGTTGGGTTAAGTTACGGTTCGTTTGGTTAGGTTAGGATATGTTTGGTTAGGTTAGGTTAGGTTAGGTTAGGATAGGATATGTTTGGTTAGATTAGGATATGTTTGGTTAGGTTTATCTTTAAGGGAAATAAACTGCGGTGCGTAATTTTCACGTCATCCGGACTGTTCATATCTGAGGGTGTGTTGCTTTCTGGGCCTGGGTGTCCTCACATCTTGCGTCACCATCCTATATCATGACTTCTGAGAACTCCATTGATGTGGTGGTGATGATGATTATGATAGTGATGATGATGGTGATGGTCGAATCTCGTGTCCAGCTGACGGTGTGTGTGTGTGTGTGTGTGTGTGTGTGTGTGTGTGTGTGTGTGTGTGTGTGTGTGTGTGTGTGTGTGATGTCAGGTATCTACCTCACCCTGAGCCACCACTACGGTTGTTCCTCACTATACTGGTGGTGTCTGATGAAGCTGTGTCTTGGGTCAGTTTTTAGAGCAACAGTGACGACAGTAGTATTAAAAATAACAAAACATTAACCATTGGGACTACTACTACTACTACCACCACCACCACCTCTACCACTACTACTACCACTACCAGTAACACCAACAATAACAATAACGAGAGTAACACAATATTACCACCACCACAAATAACAACAAAAACATTACAACCAACGACAACAAAAACAACACTACCACTATAAACAACAACAACAACAACAACAACTGTTTTTGGTTGGCGTTTCAGGTGACGTAGAAATAATACGTCATCTGTCTGGCGCCTGGCTCTCTTTCCCTCCTCTCCTCATTATTCTCCTTTTCTATCTTCGTCTTCCTCCTCATTTATCCCCCTCATATCTCATTATCTTCCTTTATCCTCATTTTCCTCATTTATTCCTTTCACCTTCATTAGTCTCCTCCTTCCTCTTCCTTCACTCCCTTTTCTATTCATTCTACTCTCCTTTATTAAATTTATCACCTATGTCACTTATTTCGTATATACTATCATCCTTTGTTATGTCCTTATTCTTATTCTTCGTCTCTCAATTCTTACTTTCCATTTATCTCACCTTTATCACCTGTTATCTTCGTTATTCCACTTTTCTTCTTCATTCTCCACTTTCCTACCTCCTTATTCTTGTTCTTTACCTCTTGTTATTTTCGTTCTTCCGTCTTACACACACACACACACACACACACACACACACACACACACACACACACACACACACACACACACACACACACACACACACACACACACACGTCTATAATATAATTGAACTCATATGCTCCTGTCACCTTTACACTTTTATACTGTGTAGGTGTGTGTGTATTCTAGAGACATACACGAGGATAAATGAAGAAAGCTTCCAATGACCCTATAGTTGTTAAGAGAGAGTGTGTGTGTGTTACGGTAAATTAATACTTTTTTCCCTCGAGTTATTTGAGGAATTGGGAGAAAAAAATATTGTGTGGCTGACCTCTGCTGTCATGGTGTGCTGGAGGCGGTCACCTGGAAGACAAAGACAATGAGTGACTGCGGAATACCAGAGTGACCGCAATGTATCAAGAGAGTGACCGCAATGTATCTGAGAATGCCCGTGATGTACCAGAGAGTGACCGTGATGTGCCAGAGAGTGACCGTGATGTGACCGAGATGTACCAGAGAGTGACCGTGATGTACCAGAGAGTGACCGTGATGTACCAGTGGTGACCGTGATGTACCAGTAAGTGCCCGTGATGTGCCAGTGAGTGACCCGTGATGCTTATGAAAGTTACCGTGATGCCGCAAGTAGGTGGCGTGATGTACCGGTGACCGTGATGTACCAGTGGTGACCGTGATGTACCAGTAAGTGACCGTGATGTACCAGTGGTGACCGTGATGTACCAGTAAGTGATGTACCAGTGGTGACCGAGATGTGCCAGTAAGTGACCGTGATGTACCAGTGGTGACGTGATGTACCAGTAAGTGACCGTGATGTACCAGTGGTGACCGTGATGTACCAGAGAGTGACCGTGATGTACCAGAAAGTTACCGTGATGTACAGAAGTTACCGTGATGTACCAGTGAGTGACCGTGATGTACCAGAGAGTGACCGTGATGTACCAGAGAGTGACCGTGATGTACCAGAGAGTGACCGAGATGTACCAGAGAGTGACCGTGATGTACCAGAGAGTGACCGTGATGTACCAGTGAGTGACCGTGATGTACCAGTGAGTGACCGTGATGTACCAGTGAGTGACCGTGATGTACCAGTGAGTGACCGTGATGTACCGAGCCACAATAAACGGTCACTAAAATAAACTAGCGTGAGGACCTTCTTCAACTCGTAAATCGTGACACTGCGCAGCGCCAACACGTGACCAGTTACCTGCCAGTCACCAGTCAGGCGCGCACCAATACCTGTCACCCCCTTCCCCACCCTCCAACCCCGCCCATGACTGTCTCCTTGGTGCACTGCGGCTACCTGGTGCACGATGCTTAACACACACACACACACACACACACATACTTCTCTGGGTGCACGACGTCTAGGCCACCTTGGTGCACAGTGATCATTTCAAAGTCCTCTTGGTGCACCATAAGCTTGGGCGGTTCCCTTGTGCTCAACATCCACCTTGTGCACCGTGCTTCGTTGTGCACCTGATATGTGTGTGTGTAAGCGCGTGCGCTCGTGGAGGTTTATAATAAACACAAACTTTGGGCAGGAAGTGGAACCGTCACGTTCGACCCCTGTACGTGTGTGTGTGTGTGTGTGTGTGAATGTTTTGTTGTGTGTAGTGTGTGAATGATTGGTTGTGTGTGTATATGTGAATGTTTTGTATGTGTGTTTCTGTGTGTGTGTGTGTGTGTGTGTGTGTGTGTGTGTGTGTGTGTGTGTGTTTCTGTGTGTGTGTGTGTGTGTTTCATAATGTCTCTAACTCTTCTTAATTTGTCCTATTTTACTTGGGTTTCCCCCTTGGCAGGTTATTCCGTGTTCATATAAATTCCGGGATTTTTTCTCTTTTGTCCCATTTATTTGCATTTCCCGGCTTTTTGTTCAGTTTTGTCTACGTTATCATCCTATTTTTTCTCTACACATGTTTATTTTTTTAATTTTGCCTGTATGTGTGTGTGTGTGTGTGTGTGTGTGTGTGATTTTTTTTATTATTAGGCAGTTGTTCATTTTATTGTTAATATTGACCTATTTTTTCATAATGATAATAGGAATGAGACTAACTGCTATTATTACTTCTACAATAATAATAGTAATAATTAATACTAATAGTAATAATAACCAAAACATCCATTAAACACAATCTAAACATCAATTACTTCTCTTCCTTTAAATGTAATCGACCCAAGATGAAGAAAAATCAACGTTAATTTTCTTCCCAGACTTCAGTTCAAGCTGCCATTCTATTATAATATTTCGCCCATTGTAGTAATATGTCGAGGCTTAGCACTTATTGGACGCCATTTTGGTCTATTTATATGTTATATCGTGGGGTGTGTGTGAGGGGAGGGGGGCGACGGGTGTAATGGCCCACTAAATTTAGGTGTCGTTTAGGGGAATGGGTTTAATTTGTCGTGTTCCCGGCCACAGTTATATACCCTGCACACGACGACCTGCTGGTGGTGGTGTGTTATGGGGAGTTATTGTGTGACTGACTGGGTGGGTGGATGGTTGAATGGGTGGGTGGATGATTGACTTTGTGAAATACTCTAGTTTTTCATTTGTCGAGTGAAGATAGAGAAAAAAGAAAGAACGAGAGAGAGAGAGAGTGAGAGAGAGAGATAGAGAGAGTAAACATCATCCTGTAGCTCAGGAAATGTTGGAGAGCTTTTGTTTATACCTGTCAAGTTCAGGAATTTGTTCTGGTGGGTAGTGTCACCTGTGTCGGTATTTGGGACACCAGGGAGTATGGGAGTATCGGTATTGTAACGGTGTATAAAGGCTTGGAAAATGTCCTGGTATTTCATGTCCCAGCTGGTATTAGAATGATTTATGGGTACAAGAACTTGGGATATATCCGGATATCCTGGTATTACGGCTTGGAAAATGTCCTATATCCTGGTAGTGAGCACTAACCGGGTATAAGAGAAAAGGAAGAGGCGAGTTTGAGTGCGTGAGTAAGTGCGTGGGTTTTGCGTCTGGTTTTGGAAGACAGCTGGAGGAAAAATATATCCCACCTTTTGTGTTTGTTTTGGTAGGGCGGCGAGTGCGGCTGGCGGGCGTATGACGTGGACTTATTCTCCATTTACGACATCTTAACGAATTTACGATGAACATTTTTTTTTAGAGTACGATAACCTCATGCAGACGATGACCTGTTTACTAGAGTGGGGAACCTACACAAGAACTCCCCTCTCTACACCCCCCCCTCTCTCACACCCTCACCCCCCTCTCTACACCCCCATCCCTACACCCTCACCCCTCTACACCCTCACCCCTCTCTCACACCCCTCACCCCCCTCTCTACACCCTCACACCCCCTCTCTACACCCTCACCCCTCTACACCCTCACCCTCTCTACACCCCTCACCCCTCTCTACACCCTCACCCCCATCCCTACACCTCACCCCATCCCTACCCTCACCCCATCCCTACACCCCTCACCCATCCCCACACCCTCACCACCCCTCCTCACCACCCTCTACCCCCTCATCCCTCTCTACACCTCACCCCCTCATACACCCTCACCTCCATCTCTACACCCTCACCCCCCTACACCCTCACCCCTCTCTACACCCTCACCCCCCTCTACCCTCACCCTCTCTACACCCTCACCCCCTCTACACCCTCACCCCCTCACCCTCTCTCTCACACCCTAACCCCCATCCCCACACCCTCACCCCATCCCTACACCCTCACCCCATCCCTACACCCCTCACCCTCTACACCCCTCACCCCATCCCTACACCTCACCACCCCTCTCTACACCCCTCACCCCCATCCCTACACCTCACCCCATCCCTACACCCTCACTCCCCTCTCTACACCTTGACCCCATCCCTACACCCTCACCTCTCACACCCTTACCCCCTCTCTACACCCTCCCCCCTCTACACCCCTCACTCTCTACACCCTCACCCCTCACCCTCTCTCTACCCTCACCCCCATCCCTACACCCTCACCCCATCCCTACACCCCACCCCCTTCACACCACCCCATCCCTACACCCTCACCACCCCCCTCTCTACACCCCTCCCTCACCACCCCTCTCTACTCACCACCCCCTCTCTACACCCCTCACCACCCCCCTCCTACACCCTCACCACCCCCATCTCTACACCCTCACCACACCCCCTCTCTCTACACACCCCCTCACCACCCCTCACCACCCTCTACACCCCTCTCTTCCTCTTGACCCAGTCCTTATAAGGCGCCATCATTTATCACACCGATATTAACTTACCCAGCAGTACCTCTTCATACTGTGAGCACCACTCAAATATTAAAATTACAGGTGATCCAAAATGAAGCCCTAAGATTCGTCACAGGTGAAAGATACCCCTTCACTAGAACCACAGCCGAGATACATAGAGACCTGCGAATGAAACCCATTAACCAGCAGCTGCACATCCTGGCCAGCAGAATCTGACAAAAGACAGAACGATCAGAGCAAGAACTCCTTCAAAGACTCCCACCAGATAACGACAACAACCATACATGGTTCCCAAAAAGTTACCAAATCTCAAAGGTCCATTACCATCCCCGATCTACACGGCCAGGCAATAGAAAACCTCACTAGACCAGCATCCGCCAGTAGGGTCGGCGGAATATGAAATAAGGCCCTTAAAACACATATATGGGACAGAGTAGGCTGTCTATGCCTGTACCGACAGACAATAACAAACCCATGACACAACCCTAACACACCATTAGCTTAGCTAGGCGGTCAGCCCGCCTCTCTTACCTCCTCCTAATTTCTTCAATTTCCGAACTATAACTTCCTTACCCCACCTCTAATCTCCTTTCACCCTCCTTTCTCTACAAAAAGTCTTAAAATGCCTTCCACAGTCCCACATACAGCCAAGAGCCGTAACATAGGCGAAGCGAAAATTCCATTGTTTAAAACTTTTAGTCACTCGGTTACGTACTTACCAATGGTCCAGGATTCTTAAGAGATTCCCACTTTCTTTTTTTTCAATCATCTTCAACTTGGTGTAAAGAGAACGCTTATAGTTACGGTCGAGTCTGGGGGATTGATAATATCCGTGGTGTGAGACAAAAATAGTGATTAGTAGTCGTTAAAGGATAATGTGCGTCTGTGGTTAAGGAAAGTGTTATAGAATCTGTAATTAGCAGTCTTTTTAATACTAATTATTGTCGTTAATTAGTAGTTATAGAATCATTAAGTAGTATTTAGTTAGTTATATGATCCATAGTTACCTTGTATAAATACTTAAGGAAATAATTGAGATAAGTAACAGTAATTAACCTTTTAAAGACACGTAATAAAACAGCCCAGTTGACCACCACCACTACTAATCACCCTAACATCATCCACATCAACATCATCCACCGATTGTTTACCACACGGGAGTCATCCACATGGGAACCCTCTTAAAGCCCCATGATCCTTGAAGCTATATAGTGCCATCCCACACCCACCTCCTCCCTCTGTGTGTGCAATTAAATCTGATCTCTCATAGGATGCTTGTGGGATCGTAGGACCTATAGGAGGGTCGTGTGGTGGTGGTGAGAGGCTGAGTTGCGGTGGTAAGGGAGGTTGAGGAAGGAGGGGGTCTTGTGGTGGTAAAGCGTTGAGGTGGGAGAGGGAGGAGGGAGGCTGTTTAGAGGTGGTTGAGGAGGGAGGAGAGAGGGAGGCGTTTTGGTTGTGTTTGGTTGTTTTGTGGCGGAGGCTGGCTGAGTGGTAGGGTTAAAGTGGTTGTGGTGAGGGAGGAGGAGAAGCCATTTGGTCGTGGTTAAGGAGGGAAGGAGGGAGAGTAAGTGAGTGAGGGAGGGTGAATGAGGGTGGGAGAGTGAGTGAGGGAAGGAGGTCGAGTGAGTGAGTGGGTGAGCGAGTGAGTGAGTGAGGCCTTTTAGTTACAGCTCGGTGGTCGTCATCAAGGAAGGTACGGTAGTTGTAGTGAATGGCCGTGTTTACATTTGGGATGGTTCTTGGACCTGTCTGTCTTGTCTCTTTGTTTTGTTTGTGTGTGTAGGGGGTAGGGTGTGTGTGTGTGTGTGGGGGGGATATACTGTGTGTGTGTGTGTGTGGGGGGGTGTGGGGTGTGTGTGTGTGTGTGTGGGGGGGGTGATGGGGTG